GTACAGGCGTCGCAGTTTGCTAGCAGTAAACGCGGGACTAACGATAAGTCGCAACCGTTTCCAGTGGCCGTCGCGGGCGTTGAACATATTGCGCGGGAATCGGCCGTTCGGGTCGGTCTCAGGCATACGGTTACGGAATTTGTGAAACTCTTTGACCAGAATCTGTTTGACGAGCGCCGGTTCGGCCACCGTTAGCGTCGGTCGTGCCAACTCATACACACTGTACGCCCCCATAAAGTGCGAGAGTATAATACGTTTGTTTTATTTTGTAATAATTAATTATTAATTGATAAATACGTAATTAATAATTTTTTTTGTTTTGTTCACTAATTAAACTTCTACTTTATAAAACTAAATAAAGTAATTATACCGTGTTATAATAACTTTATTAGAGTATAGAATACATTACTATCAGGTTGTATTTTAATTTTTAGATTAAAGTTATATTATACTCTATATATTTACATAATATAATATTTAAATGTAATAAATAAGTGTTTTATTTATGTAATTATTTATAGTGTATTTATTATTATGATGTATTTATGTAACTCTACTTACCCATAGATTTTTCCGTACGTGTTATACCACTTCATCTCTACATAAGGTATGGACTTCAATAAATAACTCATTTTATTGCCAAAATGTGGGATGGGGGTGGGGCCCGGGATATTACGGTCTTTCCAGTAATTTAATGAATGATTCATTTTCCTATTATTAATGCCAAAACATAATATTAATATTATAATTAATTAAGAGTGGTAATTTTAGTAATTCGTGTAATAAATTATAATGCAAGTAATATGCAATATATAGTAAAATATAAAAGTTCTTACAAATATTTGAGCGTGATTAAAATGGCCACAATAGGGACCAATGAATACCAAAAGTATGATATGTTAATTAGTGAGGGCATCGGTATTATTGCTATCAATTGTATTAATTTATCAAACATTTTGAAAATTAAATGTCACATATAAAGTAATCAAGGTCTATAAATATAACTAATAATTGTTATTAAAAATAATTGTTTAAACATCACTAATGGGCCCAGCTTATATACTCGTATCAATCACATGATTTGCATAAAATACAATTTTTTTATTGGAAACTACAATTTTTATTGTATCTAGAATATTCTGGCTGGTACTAAATTTAACCAAGTCATGATAGTTCAACTGTATTTAGCATAATTTATCTAGCAGTATTTAGTATAACAATTGCATTTGAAATGTGAAACTCGGTAAAAGCTCAATTTATTGGTCAAATTTAACCGGAAATTTTTGAGTGATGGTTTGATTTGATAGAGTATTTATCGAGTGACAAAACAATGTCATTCATTTGTCTGTATGTCTTGTGGTCCAGAAGTAATCCTCTCCCGAAGAAGTTCACACCCGAAATAGCTTTGGCACAATGACCATGGCACTTTTTGTTAAAAGTGATAATAAAATGCCGTAAAGTGTTTTCATTTAAAGATTAGATAAAGAAAATAACAATTTGATAAAAATTATAACAATTGATCCAGCCAATTTAAAAATATCATCAAATTTATTTGTTAAATATATTAATTGTCATTGGATAACATTGCCAAAGCTATTTCGGGAGTGGACTTCTTCGGGAGAGGATTACTTCTGGACCACAAGACATACAGACAAATGAATGCCATTGTTTTGACACTCGATAAATACTCTATCAAATCAAACCATCACTCAAAATTTCCGGTTAAATTTGACCAATAAATTGAGCTTTTACCGAGTTCCACATTTTAAATGAAAATTGTTAGTAATGTTTTTTGAATTAAATTGTATTGTAATTAAGAGTGTTTATTTTTTATATAAAAAAATTACCCAGAATTCATTTGTTTTTTATTTAATTGCTTCAAAGAAAACACAATTATTAGTCATTATTTTAATTGTATGAAAATTATGTAAGATTTTTATATTTAGCTTAAGCATTTTATTTACTAAAATGTAGTATTATTTAAATAAATAATAATTTAATATAAAGTTTTAAAATATATTTTAATGTAAATTAAAAATTTTAATTAATGTATTATTAACTAAAAATTATTAAAATATATAAACTAAAATTTAATACAATAAACGTGTATTTTACTTTTAAGCACTTTTACATTTATGCAAATGAATTGCATAAAATATATCCTAGTATTAAATAAACAAATAATATTTTTAAAACCGCATAGAATATTTTGGTTGTTACTAACCAAGTTAAAATAAACAAGTTTAATACGCATACATGATATCGCAGTATTTAGCAACCTTGTTGTTCTAAATTAAATTACAACATAATAAAAACAAAATTAAGTAAATAAAGATAACATATAACTAAATTTAAATTTAATTATATTTTATTAGTAAATTAATTATTTAAACATATTGTAATTTCAAAATATTAAAATGTTAATTATAAATTATTATTATTTTATTGTTACAACACGAATTTTATCAGATTAAATTATACATTGTCACTAATTACCAATATAAACTACTTATATGTGACAAATAAATAAATAAAAAACATAACTATAAATCACTGACGTTTACAAAAATGTTTTGTTATTTACAAAATCTCTCATTAAATATAATAATATAAAACTAGATTATAACCACTTGATAGTGAACAATGTCCGATCAAGACCAATTATAAACCCTATTATAACATGTACAGCTCTCTCTCTCTCTCTCTCTCTCTCTCTCT